GGGTTGGGGGTGGGGGGTAGGGAGGGGTCATATGTTTCTATTGTAATTAGATTCTACCAGTAGTTAAAATTTCATTAAATATGCTATTTACTAGATGTATTGTGAGGCCAAGGGGTCAAAGGTAGGGGTTGTTTTGGGTTTGTCAGGTTCGACTGAATATCGGATTGAAATTTCAGCTAGTGAGAAAGTCTGGGGTGTTTTCAGGGAGATATCGGGTTCGAGTTATTGTTGCGTATTTTTCGATCCTACCTGAGACGAATTATGTGTCAAAAATATTTTCGCTATATATGATTTACTCGGCCTTGATAGATGACCTGTGCGCTTTTGTTAGCGCGGTTTTGATTGGTTATAATTGTCAAAAGTAGGAGGTGTTTTCTATGAGCGGATTAAAGTGAATTTCGATCCTACCTGAGCCGGTTTGTGTGTCCAAAAGTGTTTGTTATAAATTTCACTAGGCCGTGATAGATGCCCTGTTCGCTTATGTAAGCGTGGTTTTGATTGGGTACAGTTGTTAAAAGTAGGTGGAGTTTTCTATGAGTTGGTTCGTTTGGGATTCGATCCTTATCTGTTATCAAAATACCATTATAGCTATATTTGTTAATTATTTGTTTATAAACCTACCGATACGGGGGAGGAGCTTGTTATGTTCATTTTCTATAGTGTTCATATCTTATGGGCGGGGATGGGAGGGGGATGCATTTGAAAATAGGTTGAGCATATGGTTACAACTGCGAAATAGATGTTAATTGCCAATTCCATCTATCTTACTTGTTCTGATAGCAGCTATACCTACCTAACATGTATTGCTTTGTTTTTATTTGTTTTAAAAATCTTTATTGTTTTTTAATAGTTATTGAAATATTTAATTCAAATACTGGGACTACTGTTTTGTGACAAATAATTAAATCTCGTTGTATCAACTCAGAATTAATTATTCCTAAAATTCCTTACCTATCGTACTTTAAGTCCAGAAGCACACCTGGCCTTCTCCTCATACTTGCGTCAACTTAAGTTAAGTCACGCCGATGGAACAAGAGGACTTATTTGTATGTATATCTTAAACAGTTCATGGAAGCAGATTTATATTTGATGAAAAGGAAAAGGAGAATTCATTTATTTCCTTAGAAAAGACTTGGGATCCAGGGTGTATTATTGTGCTTGATGATTTTTAGAATAAGTGATTTTATATTTTTAAGGTTATGAGAATCTGGTACCAATAGACATAAATGGAAGAGGCATAGTAAAGGGCGTTTCCTTATTCGGTAATTTTCATAATGAAAATTTTAAGAGATAATTCATGTTTATAGAAAAAAGTGAAAAAATTCATATAAGTTATTTCCCCTTGACCAATGGTCTCAGGTCCACGACTCTAGCGAAATGACAATTTTAGTACGTATTTCTATATCTTTTGTCATAATGCTGATTTTAATTTCTAATTTTGTTTTACCCAGTCTAAATCTTGTTATCACAATATCTTCCGATTTACTGTAGCCGTATAGTTTAGGTTTTTTAACTGGTTCTTGAATGATATTTCTAAGGTTGTTGTTGTTGTTGTTAATTTCTTTCCATATATTTCTCCATTTATTCTCAATTGATTTGTTGATTAGCGAGTATACTTCTTCTTTTGTTAGATCTATTTATCATTTTATGTTTTAAAGTTTGATTGAATAGAATATCTATACCCTGTTTTTCTAAGATATTGACCGAATTGAGTATTGAGTGTAGAGTTGTATTTCTGGTGCTATTCCTTGTTGGTATAGATTGTAGTGATGAGAGACTGTCTGTTAAGATAACAGCGCCGCCTGGCGGTTTATTGAGATCTATGATTCTTAGAGCTAATCCTATAGCTATGATTTCGCTAGTGTATTCTGAGCTATTATCGGTAATTCTCATGGATAATTCTATTTTGTCCTCCTAAGAGTAAATACCTAGTCCTATTTGGATTTTTAGACCCATCAGTATAATATTTGGTCATTTTTTAAAATTTGTCTTCTATTATCGCTAGTGCACCTACAGGATTTTCTTTTTTATTTGTGCTATTTAAAGTTTTCTAAGCTAACTGTAGGATCGTTGATTAACTTGGGTGGAGTTGGATTAGGGTGTGATTGATCTATTTTAATGTTGTCCAATTTATTTTCTTTTACTAATTGATTAACTCTATGATTTTAGGGATTTTTTTTATGTTTTTTTTTATTTTGTTTCTATATATTTTATATTTAACTGCTGTGGCAATTTGATTTGGCGGAAATTCTGGTCCTTATGTTTGGGTTCTAGCCCAATATTTAAGGATGAGTTTTTCTCTTCTTAATTTAAGAGGCATTTCTCGGGATTCAGCTAGAAGACTTATGGAAGGGGTATTTTTGATTGCTCCTGTTGCTATTTTAAGAGCATTATGTTGTATAATGTCTAGGGAGTTTAGAGCATCGTCAGAGGCTGAGTTGTAAATTTGACATCCGCAGTCTGTTTAAGATCGAATTAGTGCTTTATATATAGTTAGCAGGGTTTGTTTGTTTGATCCTAATCTATACATTAATGTATTAAGTGCGTTTTTACATCTATCTTTTATAGTATTTATATGTGGTATGCTATCCATGATATCTTTTGGTCGAATATTAGGCCCAAATATCTTCTTTTTTTAAGATATTGTATGCGGGTCTTACCTAGGTAGAGATTCCTTTTTGAAAAAGACACGGCAACTGTCTTTTCTTTCGAAATTTTGAATCCCCACTTGTCGGACCAATCTTGTATGGCATTGGGTGTTTTTTGTATTACTTTCGCATTATTTGTTATACCGTTATTACTATTCCATATACTAGTGTCGTCAACAAATTGTCCTATTCTTGATATCTTAGTTTTCTTTTCTAGCTTTTTTAAGTGTTAATCTAATTTGTTAATAAAGACATCGCCGTTGAATAGTGTAGGGGAGACAACACTGCCTTGAGGGACTCCATTTTCCATAGTTTTTTCCTCTGAGAGTTCATTATTTACCCTTACCTGAATTTTCTGTTATTCATAAAATGCACAATAAATTTTAAGATGTTACCTGTTATACCTATTTCCTTTAATGGTAGTAGCAACCCCTCGTGCCATATGAGGTCGTATGCCTTTTCTAAATCTAGAAATACTGCTAGAGTGTGGTGATTTTTACTTAATGTTGTTTTAATTTCTGGTGTTATTTTAGCTAACGAATCTAGGGTGGATCTATGGTTGCGGAATCCGCTTTGATTTTCACTATGTAAGTTGCTTATTTCTAAATAATATTTTAATCAGTGGTTAATCATGGTTTCCATGGTTTTACATAAATGAGATGTTAACGAGGTATAGGTCTATAGGAGGCGGGATTTTCTTGATCTTTCCCTGGTTTAAGTATGGGAATTATAACCGCTTTACTCTACGATAGTGGGTATGTTCTTGATTGCCAAATAGTATTTATTAAATCCAGGATTATATTATCGACTATTTTGGGACAATGTTTTAAGATGGTATATGAAAGATTGTCTATACCTGGTGATGTACTTTTTTTTTTTTTAGATTTTATGGCGTTTTTATATTCGTCTAAATTAAATGGAGTATTTAAATATGTATCATTTGTACCGACGTCTGCAATTTTATTTTCTAGGAATTCTTCAGTACAATTTTGATTGCTACTAGCTTTTTGGAATTGTGACGCAAGGATGTTTTCTTTTTCCATGTTGGTTTTGCCTTTTGCATTTCCCCCTAATATGGGCATTTCTTTTGGAGGGATGCATTGAATGGCTTTTATTTTATCCCAAACGAGTTAAGTGTTTGTTTTATCGTTGAGGGAGTTACAAAATTATATCCAGTGTTGTTGACATCCGCCATACGACACCGACTATCTACGACATGATTAAACCGAGAATATTTAAATGACATCCGTTCTACGACACCGACTTATGTACGAAAAATAATTAACGCGATACTATTAAAATGACATTCGCTATACGACAATGACATTTTCGACATTCTTAAAGTGATTGTTTTTTAAAGACATCCGCTAATCGACACTGACATTTTACGACATTCTTAACGCAATACTATTTAAATGACATCCGCGGTACGACACCGACTATTTACGACATGATTAAACCGAGAATATTTAAACGACATTCTTAACGCAATACTATTTAAACGACATTCGCTATACGATACAGACTATTTACGACATTCTCAAAGTGAGATTATTTATATGACATCCGCTATACGACACTGACTATTTACGACATGATGAAAGCATTACTATTTAAATGACATCCGGTATACGACACTGACTATTTACGACATTCTCAAAGTGAGATATCTTATATGACATCCGCTATACGACACTGACTATTTACGACATGATGAAAGCATTACTATTCAAATGACATACGCTATACGACACTGGGGTGGAGGGATCTGTTGTAGTGTGTAATCGCATTTAACGGATGTAAGATACCAGAGACTAATGTATCATCAGATTTCAATTTCCAATATTAACGGTACCTTCCTATGAACTGCAATTCCTAAAAACTTTGGTTCAGTAACTACAGAAATTTTGGTATTTTTTAATGAAAGATGATTCTTAACAGCCGTATGGACATCTTATACAAAACAACGTTTACATTCTTTAAAATGTAATAAACATTTATCCTGCATTGTTTTTCCCTTTAGGATATATTATTTAACCACTTCGCCCTGAATAACTAGTATTTCAATCAGCGCATACTTTTGAATTACGTATGTCACTGCAATACTGATTCGCATTATGATTGATTATTAGCGGACATGCGCAAACAAGTGTTTGATTAGATTGTGAAGGTGAAAATAGCAGGTGTTAGCCTAGATCATGTAATGGATTACACTTGTGCATTTCAGGAAATATTTTGTTTTGATATGTGCCAGACAAATCTGACCATTTATTGAAGGAACACTGAAGATTGATTGAGGTAAGTGTGAACCTTTTTATGTAAGGGAGACAGCAAATGTACTTGAACCACTTACGGTGTGTAAAACTGTATTAATTTGAAAATTCCCGAAGGGGCCAGGTGAGTTGTACGTATGGTGTCGCGTCTGTCCTCCCGGACTCTGACCATAGTCCGTCTGTCTGGAACACACATCTACTTTTGAACAACCTAATAGGCATATAGTTATACTTTTTGAGCAAAGCAAACTGGGAGAAATGGCTATAAGGTTTGTTCATTGGTAAGGTCACAGGGATTAAAATATTTAATGTAATATATTATTTTTCTTACAATTAACAAAAAAAGACTCGGGGTGATGATATTCGGCCAGTAAAATGTTAGTGTGAAAGACCAAAATAGGGTAAAAATGGACCTCGACCAAATGGTAAGGTCACAGGGACAAAATGCATAAAAAACCCCATTAAAATGACTTTTACTGAATAACAAAATTCCTAGGATATTCATATCTGATCTGTAGGGTGTTTGGATAAAGGAATATAGATAATTTTCAACTGGATTATGTTGACCTACTTCCAATGTTATAGATTTGTTAAAAACTTAAGCTTAATTCTTCTGATTAACTAAGAGATTTACGGTGATGATATTTGGCCAGGAACGCATTGATGCATATGAAGTGCTACGTATACCATTCGTTCAAATGAATGACCTCCACCAACTTTCAATGACAATTGCAGCTTTTTTTTCTAACCATTTAGACGACTTCCTTTAAAAAAACACAAGAAACTTATGGTGATGATGTTTGTCAAGTTCTATGCTTGGATAAAGTGTTAAAGTATCAAGTTTATTTAAATGAATCAGACTATCGTGATTGTTCAAATGAATGTCATTGTCCCACTCTCAAGGTTACAAGGGTCTCAGTTAAATATAAGACATATGCATGAAACATTGCGACATGTCAAAGGCGAAACACAATGGTATACGTTAAAGACATTTCAAACATGTCAGAGGTACTGCTACATGTAGATCTAGGAACATGACATAAATCTAGGAATATGACAGAAGACTAGTCTCATGGAAGAGGAGTAGCCACATAACAGGGGTTTAGCCAAATGGCACAGGTGTAGCCACAAGACAGAGGTGTAGCCACATGCCAGAGGTGTACTTGTAAGCCCATGACAGTGGTGTAGTCACAGGGACGAGGTGTATCCACATGGCTGAGTTGTAGCAACATGACAGAGGTGTATCCACATAGCAAAGGGCAACAAACATGACAGAGGTGTAACCACACGGTAGAGGTGTAGCCATTTGGCAAAGGGCAAGTAACATGACAAATGTGTAGTTACATGGCAGAGGGCAAGGAACATAACAGAGGTATAACCACCTGTCAGAGGTGTAGCCACATGACAGTGGTGTAGCCACAGAAAAGTGGTGTATCACACATGGCAGAGGTGTAGCAACATGGCAGAGAGCATGGAACATGGCAGATAGCATGGAACATGACAGAGGTGTAGCCACATGACAGAGGTGTAACCACACGGTTTAGGTGTAGCCACATGACAAAGGGCAAGGAACATGACAAAGGTGTAGTTACATAACAGAGGTCTAGCCACTTGTCAGAGGTGTAGCCACATGACAGTGGTGTAGCCACAGAGAAGTAATGTAGCCACATGGCAGATATGTAGCCACATGTCAAAGGGCAATAAACATGCTTGAGTTGTAGCCTCATAACAGAGGCGTAGCCACATGGCAAAGGGCAATGAACATGGCAGAGGTGTCGCCACGTGGCAGAGGGCAAGGATCAATATAAGTTGTAGCCATATGACAGAGTTGTAGCCACAAGTTGTAGAGGGCAAGAAATATGACAGAGGTGTCGCCACATGGCAGAGGACAAGGAACATGACAGAGGTGTAGCCACATGGCAAAGGTGAAGCCGCATGACAGAGTGCAAAAAAATGATATAGGTGTAGCGACATGTCAGTGGTGTAGCCACATGGCAGAGATATAGTCAAATGACAGAGTTGTAGCCACATGGCAGATTTGTATCTACATGGCAGAGGTTTAGCCCATGACAGAGGGCAAGGCACATGACAAAGGTGTAGTTACATGGCAGAGGTGTAGCCACATGGCAGTGTTGTAGCCACATTACAGAAATGTAGCCACATGGCAGAGGGCAACGGAAATGGTGAGGTGTAGCCACATGACAGAGTGGAAATAAAATGACATAGGTGTAACCCCATGATAGAGGTGTAGCCCCATGGCAGAGGGCAACGGACATGATGAGGTGTAGCATATGGCAGATGCAGCCACATGACAGTGGTAAGAAACATGACAGTGGTATAGCCACATGGCAGGGGTGAAGTACATGACTGATGTGTAGTCACATGGCAAATGTGAAGCCGCAGAACATAGGTGTAGCCCCATGGTAGAGATATATCCCAATGACAGAGTTGTAGCCACATGGCAGGTTTGTATCTACATGGCAGAGGTTTAGCACATGACAGAGGGCAAGGCATATGACAAAGGTGTAGCTACATGGCAGAGGTGTAGTCACATGGCAGAGATATAGCCACATGGCAGTGTTAAAGCCACATGACAGAGATGTAGCCACATGGTAGAGTTGTAGCCACATGGAAGAGGTGTAGCAACACGGCAGAGATGTAGCCACATGGCAGTGTTTTAGCCACATGACAGAGACGTAGCCACATGACAGAGATGTAGCCACATAGAGTTGTAGCTACATGGCAGAGGGCAAATACTATGACAGAGATGTAGCCACATGGCAGAGATGTAACCATTGGTAGAGGTGTAGCCACATGGCATATGGCAAGGAACATGACAACCGGGTCATATGTCCACCCTCAAGTTCATAAGGGCTTACATTAGATATCAGACATAGACATGAAATATTGCGTTATTCATAGACATGAATAGACACATACTTAATCCATGTATAGTATATACCTGCTGGTGTGCTACCCTGACGGGCAGATTAGAGAAGGAGAGCAGAGACAAAACATCAACACAACCTCCATGACACAAGCCCACATAATGGTATGTCACTGCAGTTTTAGCTACCAGTGACCATTGGGTTGGAGTCAGGCCACCACCCAGAACCTTGAATTAGGGTGTGGTTGTATTGATTTGCTTAAGTCTACATGGAAGTCTACATGTACATGTACCGGTGTACCAAGTAGCTCTGGTAGAGGGTTATCTGGTACTTGGTAGCTACCAGGTGTCAGCACTAAGTAAATACCGCACCAAGTGGTACCAAGTACCAAGTTCTCAACCGTGTGGTCTGGTCTAGATCTACACCATGGTCACTGGTAATTTACCAATAAACCTAATTCACTTATATGATTTGAATATGTCAACGTAGAAATAGTAATAAAAGATCAATTTGAGACAATTAATTGTTTCCTTGTTCTTGAGCAGATCATCACGGACCTGATGTGATGATCGTATGTGACGACCAGAAAACGTTACAGTGGCTTTATACTATTGAAGTATGTGACGACCATATAACGTTTTATGGTCGTCACATACTTAAATAGGTAAAAATATACATGAAATAGAGGTTATTATTTTTCAATACCTCCGCCAGGAGTCGAACCCGGGACCCATGGCTGACTATTCTACCGTTCTATCGAAAGAGCTTAAGAGGAAGTCTCCCTAACAGAGACGGCAGGAAGCAGCTATTGTTTTATCAGGGTGACATACTTCCTCTCTCGGAAAGAAATCGCCTCGATATTTCGAGGCGGTCATAGCAATCCTTGTGAAAGCATCTCTAGTATTTTGTCTATAAATCCCGGTGCTTACATAGGCGACAATGTACATGAAAAAAGAGTTTATCATTTTTCAATACCTCCGCCAGGAGTCGAACCCGGGACTTCTGGCTTACTAGTATTACGCTCTACTGAAGGAGCAAAAGAGAAATTCTCCCTGGCCGAGTCAGTAGGTGCAGCTAGTAATTTACCATGTTGACATGTTCATATCTCACCGTTATAGCAACACAACATTAATAACCCAACCTCACGCCGAAACACCGAATCAGGGGCATAGCTCTGTTTAAAAGCTAATGCGCTGTGATTCAGCACACCTGACATATCTTGTGTCTTCGTCAATTATTTAGAAGATTATAATTTGTTTTAAAATGTTTGTGAATTTGATAGGCTGTTCGGTTCCTATTGTATTTTTCACGAGAACGACAGGCATCGGATAAATATACCAAACCGTATACCTTGATACTCGCTCGGCACAAAATATTCAATTTTAGTGTTTCTCTGTAGATGCAGTAGATTTGACATTGAATAGACTACTTATAACATTACCTGAATCGACTACATTTTATTCCAGGGGATCATTGCAATTCTTGTGAAAGTATCTCTAGTATTTTGTCAATATATCCCGAATCCCTACATAGGCGCCAATGCACATGAAAAAAAGGTTTTTATTTTCAATGCCTCCGCCAGGAGTCGAAACGGGACCTCTGGCTTACTAGTCTTACGCTCTACTGAAGGAGCAAAAGAGAAATTCTCCCTAGCGCAGTCGGTAGGTAGCAGCTAGGTATCTACCATATTGACATGCACGTCACGCCGAAACAACGAATTAGTGGCATAGCTCAGTGTAACAGCTAAATACTCCGCCAGGAGTCGAACCCGAGACCCCTTGCTTACTATTCTTACGCTCTACCGAAGGAGCTTAAGATATTTCTCCCTATCCGAGTTGGTAAGGAGCAGCTTGTATTTTACCAGGGTGACATACTCCCCCTCCAGGAAAGAAATCGTCTCGATATCTCGAGGCAGTCATAGCGATTCTTGTGAAAGTATCTCCAGTATATTGTCAATACATCACAGGTCCCTACATGCGCGCAAATGTACATGGAATAGAGGTTATTATATGTCAATGCCTCCGCCAGGAGTCGAACCCGGGACTTCTGGCTTACTAGTCTTACGCTCTACTGAAGGAGAAAATGAGAAATTCACCCTCGCCCAGTCGGTAGGTAACAGCTATGTTTCTTCCATATT